ACAAGACCTCTCTGTGATGGAAAAAGAGTAAATAAACCACTCACTATAGCTTTCCCTGAAGAGACTAATACTGTGCTCTGCTGAACAGTGCACTTCTGAGAGGAAATGGGGAATATACCAAAGTGACTTCCTTGACCCAGACGTTCCAGATTTCATCTACTCTGATTATTGCTCAGTTATATTTTACCCAAAGTCATCTTCTTTGCTGTGGCAAAATTTCAGAACTTGTTTTATCCAAGAATTCAGGCAATGCTGATATGGGTTCCCATCCACTTGTGCAGTATGAGATTTTAATGACTCATAAAGGCATGACTTTGTTGTTTTGTGTTGAATAAATATCTATGCATGACAAAAGATATGGAAGCAATATGTTTAAAGGGGAAGGCAACATTTTTCAGATGATTATGGCATTTTGCTTTCAGTCTCGTGCTGCACAGAACTCCTGAACACATGTTACAGCCATCCAGAAATCCGTATCTATTGCAGTTAATTATTGTACTCATTTTTGCCATACGTTAGTTGAGTGCTCATTGTAAATTCTCCTATCCACTCATTATTCAGAATGATTCCCAAGTCCTTTCAATGAATGATATGCCAAACTGTAAGTTATTAGAACTATGAATTGCAAATATTTATAATGAATTACACAATTTATGCTGCAGCCAGAGAAACAAACCTTTCTGTATGACATGTGGGTTGCAATCTCAGCCATTGAAAAATGAATAGGGCATGAATTTCGGATTGTAGCCACACCTGCATATTTCAATTTACCATTTGCATGTGTCCTGCCTGAATTTTCCAGTTGATGGTACACATCAGAATTGAAATAGGTGAATATCTAGGGGTAAAAAAAAAGGGGTTCTGGCAATTCCTACACTTGCAGAAAGCAAACTTGGAAAACAGGCAAATCAAAATTTTCTTTCAAAGCTGAATATTTAATTCTAATACTCTTTACCATCGTGCACATAGATCCAGCTCTAACCAAATCCTATCTCCTGGCTGTTCACGACATCTTCAAAATGCATTTTGTGCCACGTCTTACCCCACCCAAGGGATGGGTGTCTCTCACACCAACTGATGGAGAGTTCAAGAACAAAATGGGTGACAGGAAATCCTTTCCCCATCTTCTGGTTCACGATTTAGGGGTAAAATGGGGTGGTTACCAGGGGATTAAGAAAGCTGTGGTTACCCTCATATCATGGTTGAGCCACTGTGCAGTCTGCTCCCTTGTCCCATCTCCACTGTGGTTGTGTCTGGCCCCAGGTGTGCTGTAAAAAGTCTCTCCCTGCCTGGGTCACCCAGACCACCACAGTCTTCACAGATCACTTGAAAAATAAATTTTAAAAAAAAGAAGGAATGAGAACTGTCTCCCAAGCAGTCTCTCAGTCTGTGTATGGTGAGGGCGTCTGCCTCTTCTCACTGCCGTGTTTTATCGCACTCTGCTCCTCCTTCTTCTTTTTTTCCCATTCCTAATATAAATGTGAAAAATCCCAAAATGGGAATGTCAGAAATTTTGACACTGAAGTTACCAGAATTAAAAAAGAAGAAATGCCTTCCCTCCCTGCAAGGCACTCTCACAGGTCAGATGCATCCAAGAGCAAGAGCCTGCATTTTAACCGTGACAAGCATATTCTTTGCACTAGCAAACACACCAGTGAGATGATAGTGAGCATGGACACAACGGTTTGGACAGGTAGAGCTGAAGGAAAGTTCAGATCTTCTCAAGATTGGAAGTAGAAAGGAGTTAGAAATCCCAGTCCTTCTGTCAACCATTCCTGACTCCCTTTGAGGCTACATGACTCACATCAGCTTAATACAAAATTGCAAATCTCTGCGGTTTCTGGGGGAGGAACTCTGCCCTAGATTCAGCACAAGATCTGTCCTGCTCTTCACTGCTCTCCCTGCCAGGGTACAAAAAGCAGCTGTAAAATCCCACTTGCGCAACTTCCCTATTTGCAGAAGCTCTTGGTCAGGGAGAAACAACTTCGAGGTTGGAAAAGAAGTGTGTGAACCAGGTCCAGCCCCTACGCAGCTTCTCAGTTGGGTTGGTATGAAGCCAAGCCATACAGGAAGGCTTCAGTATTTCAGCTGCTGGGCACAAAACCCTTGTATTTCCATGCTAGTAAAGCAAATGTATGCTAGACCTTGAGAGAACCTGCCTCAATGAATTTCTCTTCCATTCATGCTGAGTCCAAACTTTTTTGCACTTAAGAGAGAAGCATTGAAGAAATACAAATTCCTCAAGTGAGGTTAACTGTCCGAAGACTACAGTTAGTTGGTTTTCCTTTAATCCCCACACCTCTATCATCAGCAGCACATAATCTGCACCAGGGAAAGAAGTCACACTTTTCTCATCAGTTACAAAGCTGAGGAAAACAGAAAATAATTGCTCTCTGAAGTGCTGATGTGCAGAGCCACATCGCTCCGGCACGCAGAAGGAGGAGGGGATGTGGCAGCAGGAAGCAAGTGCCTTCTGCAGAGCTGGAGTGACATGGAAAGGGAGCAGATAACCTGACTTGCGCTTGTAGCATGTTGAAGAGAGGCAACATGCTCTTATCCATAAAAGTACTTATAAAAGCTAGAAGTGGACAAGTCGCCCTGTGCAGGTTTGGTTCTTATGGGGCCTTTTGCAATGGCTGTGACACCTAGATTGACAGGATTGTTACACATTTCCATGGATAACTTGTATGTGGGAGCAGAGTGGTACAAGTGGGAGAGAGAAGCTGGAAATGAGGAAAGCCTGATCTCAGCTCCATGGTGGGATCCATCATTTACTGCAGCCTACCAGAGCCTCTCCAGTTGGCTGAGGCGGCTGAGACCATGGCCACCCTTAGCTTTGGAGGGCAGATGACTCTTCGCATTTGCTTTGGCCATCACAGGGATATGTTTAAACATCGATATGTTTAAAAAGAGTCTCAAAATTAGGAGTTTGTGAGCTCAGGGACACTCAGCACAGAATGAAGAAAACCCCCAGCAGCTCGGCCCTCCAGCAGAGCCTCTCTGTCTGCTCACTCTCTCGGAAGCCTGTCTCCACTGCCCAGCGTCGCCAGGGCAGTACTGGCCTGAGCCTCCCTGTCCCACAGGGCACAGGCAGGATGATGAGGTCTCACAGCAAGATAACTTAGTGCAAAAGCAGTGAGACAACTTGGAGACAGGAGGAGGCACCGGATTGCCATCTGCAACACTTGGAGGTCAAACATCAGCACAGACTGAAGCAATTCACCTTCCGGGCTGACGTGCTCCCTGCCCTCCACGTCTCAAACCCACACCTAAGAGAGGCTCCCTGTCGTCCCTCTGCCTTGTATACTTAACAAAAGGTATCTTGTTGCTGTGCTTACTAGCCAAAATAGATGCCACTCTCCCTTTCTTTGTGTTTAGACCACATGGCTGGCCCCATGGTGAGAGCACGGAGCCGCCCCTGTTAACCAGGGATGGGACCAAGCCCTCCCTCCCTTCTCCCCACACAGGGATGCCTCCTTTCTCCCCACACAGGGATGCCTTTCCAGCATTCGACCCTGCACCTCCCCAGCCAGAGGTACCGGCTCACTCACTGCAGGATGGCGCACTGCATCCAACAAGGGCAGCTCTCTCAATCTTCCTAACCACAGCAGAGGAGCTCCCGGCTTGTTCCCCGGAGCACGGCTCCAACAGAAATACAAGCTGAGCATGGCATGCATCCATCATAGACAGAGGGCTCTGGGTCCATAGCCCCCGAACAGTTTTTAATCAGCAGAAGATAAATACATTGTAATGTCCTTCATGGCTTAAAAAGCTTGAGAGGTCTGTCTCAAGGTTGTGACAAGCCCTGCCCCGTCTCCCACCCGTTACACGGTTCAGGATTCTTTCGAAAACTTCAGAGATCATTGCAGAAGGGAGCTTGGGGCAAACCAGCAAATCAGACTCAGCTGGGAAGTGCTCAGTGTCTGATTTAGTCTCCACATGGGTTCAGCTCTGAACACAGATATGCTTACAAAGTCCTTATCTGCATGTGAAGAGCCATGAATCCATCTACCAGATGAACCGAATCTCCTCTAAACAGTTGCATAGAAACACCTATGGTTTTTTTTCAGAGATTGCAGTTTGTTCTAATATTACAGGAGCTAATTGTTCTTCCCTGCCTTCCTCCCGTGCTCTGCCTCCCACCTCTCCGCTTGGTGAGGAGAAGACAGCAGAGGGTGCCTCCTAAGACAGAGCCCTCCAAACCCCTCTGTACCCCTACAGTGCACAGCCCACACGCTCTCTCTTCCATGAACACATTGTGGTACTCAGTGAAGAGTGGGGTGTGTGAGGTGTGGGGTTCAAATTCACTGGGACCCCAAACTGCCAACCAGCCGGACTATGTCCTGTAGCCCGTGGGAGGCATGCTCAGCTCCCAGCGCTCCTGCAGAGCTGGGTGCCACTGCCTTGCACAGGGGAAGGCTTTGACTGGGTTACAGTAAAAGGCAGACACCCCAGAATTTTCTGAGCTGCTAAAACACAACGGCAAGGATCCCCCCCCTCAAGAGAGCCATGGAAGTGCCTCAGCAGGGTCAAGGCATTTGGGGAAGTTCATCCTTTGCCTTTCATTAGTTCAGAAGATGCAGCAGTGGCTGGTGGGGCTACAAAGCCAGAACCTGAGAAGGGGCAATGGGAGTCATGATCCCTTTGCTAGAGAAGATGGAGTGGGCAGCCTCCCTCAAGGTGCTCCCTGTGGGGTCAAGTTGTTCCCCTCAGACCAAACAGCAGGGCTTTGCAAAATGCATACATGACTTTTGCATTGTCCCAACTCTTTTCTGAACACACCTCTGGAGAAACTGCGCATGCCAACACCTATCTGTTATCCACAAACCCAGTTTTTTTGAGCACCCTAAGAATTTCTGGATGCTTCTCTTGTCCCATACCCTTTTAAACAGTTAATCCATCAGATCTTTCAAATGCAAAGCAAAACCAATCGTTTACAAAAACTCTAGAGAAGTACTCTTTCTAATGACTCCAGGCATTATGCAGCATCCGAGAAACACTCACCTTAGTACATGAGTCGATCCATTTATTGTGGTGGTGGAACAGGGGACCGTCTGCCCCAAGATGGAAGGCCTTCGGTATCGCTCATCACCACAGCACAGGATGATGAGGAAGGCACGTCTGAAAGACTTGTTCAGGAAGGCGTAGAGAAAAGGGTTCAACCCTGAATTGATGTAGCCCAGCCACAGGAAAGCCGTCCACAGCTTCCCCGGTACTGTGTAGTTTATGAAAGGGTCCACTATGTTTGTGATAAAGAAGGGGGCCCAGCACAGGCAGAAGCACCCCATGATGATGCACAGGGTCTTGGCAGCTTTGGTCTCAGTCTTCATGCGGTGCGTGCTGTGCTGGTCCGGGTGGTGCTGCCGGCCGTCGGTGGGGGCCCCCGCGCGCTGCAGCACCTGGATCTGTCGGGCGTGCTCCCTGGCCGTGACGTAGATGCGGTAGTAGGCCAGCACCATCAGGAGGAAGGGAATGTAGAAGGCCACCACGGAGCAGGTAATGGCGTATGGCTTGTTGACCATGAATATGCAGTAAGTGGAGTTGGAAGCCTTGTTGAACTGCCTTTGCTGAATCTGGGGCAGGGGGAGGAAGGACAAGGACAAAGAAGGAAAGAAGTTCAGCACTGCTCCTCCAATACCAGCAGTCTGTTTGCCAGGACACCTCACCACCACTTTCCACTTCTCTCTCCTCCCTCTCCTCTCCCATCCACAGTACCTGCCTTACCCACTGCTGCCTCTCCTGCCTGTGCTCACACCATGGGCTCTCCAGCCCTGCTGATCCCCACGTCTGCAGGACCAGCCCACGTTGCAGCTCTGGCACCCGAGAGCATACCTCAACCTGGCCAGTGAAAATCAGCCTAACTCCCCAGTTCAGACACAGTGAAGGGGAATAACTTCACTTTGTGCCGTGCTTTTTTGCAGTGCTCACTGCTTTGTTCATCAGGGCGTGTTTTACACCAAGGATGCACAAGTTTCATCCAGCCGAGTCCCACAGGGGTATTAAAGAAGGACCAGATGGACAGGGAAGGGACTGTGCTGCAGCATCTTGGGGGCAGCCTGAGGCAGGAGAAGTCTGCAGGTTGAGTCCGTAGGCTGAGAACTGGTCAATGACTTGTGATGGAAACAGAGACAGCAGAGGAAGAAAAGGGTCTTGCATGTGAGTTTGGGGAGCAGGGGGCATAACTGGGACAGACAGGATTTCTCTGAGGCCATTCTTGCTCCAAAACAATGTCACTTCAGGTCCATCAGGCCCATAATTTCTGATGTTTATTCCAACAAGAGAATAACCCTGTCTCTTATTTAAAATTATAATATCACAATTATTAATTAAATTGTTTAAA